TTTATGTTAAAAGTCGTCGACGAACTTTTGTAAAGATTTTTTTTTTTTTTCTCAATTATGATAATTTAAACAACAATGACATCGTAATTCAACGAATGAAAAGAAAAAGCGTTCCGCATTGTTGACTTAAATAAAATCACTACGAAGATAATTAACGCACTGAGTGTCATACAAAGGAGGAATTATTATTAATTGACTTGAGAGGAAACTTTTACGAGTTAAAATCGTTTACTCTTCAATTATGCCTTGTAAACGCTACTCAAGTGTTTGTAAACGTAACGTACCACAACACTATGTATATTTATTCTTTCAATACTTAATATTTAAAATTGATTATTAAGTTATACACCGTCCCCTTTTACTAATAATTTAAGAAGTTCTAAGAAAAATTATTCGATACAAGGATAAAAATGTAGCTCCATATTTAAAGTAGCGTGAACGCATAAAGCAAGTAGAAGATGGCTCTACACGAGGCGAGTAATCTTCACGTTCACGACTTGCATTAGCCACAGGCCATCAGCGAATTAGAACGATTCGGAGGTTTTTATTCCAGGTAAGGGCTGTTGCACACGAGAGAGATAACTCAATTCTTAATATCTTTGTAGTGGAATGTTAAGGCGGTTTGCTTAACTGTGATATGATACACGCATCACCTCAACCCAAATGATGTGAGGATGACCATCGAGGCTGGAGTCAGGAATAGAGTAGCTCAGGATAGAAAGGACACAAGTCGGAGGAGGCCTTCGCCGATCGGCACACAAATCTTGGGAAACTTAGCAAGGCACAAATACTAATGTTACATTCAATACCTTTAACTGTAGATACGAAAAAGGACGTTTCCAATGCTTTATGGTTCTCTTGAAAATAAAATAAAATATACTTTATTCTCTTTAAAATTTGACGTGAGATGTGACGCGAACACGCGATGGCGACGCGTAATTACTTCTTAGGTGCGTTAGTGACGTAACATAAGATCGCGTTCACACGAAGACCTTTTTTAAGACTCGAATCGCTTCTAAACGTACACTATTAGCAAAATGTAGTAAATTTATTTAATAAGTTATTTAGTTTCACGTATGTACGAGACTAATAACTGAGACGAGGTTTTCTAGACAAACGAAATCTGTTTCAGGCCAGCGAGGTTCACGAATTTGCAAACTATATCCAATTGATCGCTCTCTCATCATTAATTATAAATATTTAATAAGTTGTTTACTAAAAAGTACATGTCGTAAATCCAATTTTTTACTAGAAACGAGAAAATATTAACATGTTTTTCATGTCACGTGTTTCGTTAGGTCAACAAAAACGTTTGAAATATTACAGGTTACGAGAGGCGTATAAAATGTTAAGTAAGTAAGATTGAGCGATTATATAAAGCTGATCTTCTGAAATAAGAGACTACAATAGATTTTTGATAAAGATATATGGCAGGATTAGGTCACCCGACGCGCAAGAAACTTTCTTGGCTAATAGCTATTAAGATGATCACACGCTCAATAACAGTCGAATGCATTCGTAGCGTAATGAATATGCAATTGGGTTGCAGCGCGCGTGAGCCGGTCGAGGGGCAGCCACGGCGGCATCGGGTGATCTCATTATGTCATTTGCCATGGCCCGCGACCTAGACACGTTATTTTAGGCTGTTCGAGGTCAACAATTTAAGCTATCTTTTACTTGAGCACTTTAGACCCCACGACTACTTATTTACTTAAACTGTACGCAAAGAATTGACAAGATACAATCGAAGAAAGTTCAAATCGTAAAAATAGTAAAATAAGTGTTCGAGTGTATTAAAAAATTACTCCGTGATTCTTTCGGGAATCGTCGTTTTGTCTCTCTCTTCTCGGCATGTTGTAAGAAAATAATCTAATATTACACATACATTTAAATAAAACACTTTAACGGTTTAAAACGCGATATATTAGTTAAACTTATTTGGAAATGATTTTTAACTTCGGCCCGGCGTTTCGGATGCTTTACAGCAGCCGTGGTCACGTGTATAACACATACAGTTGAAATCGAGTCGGAACCGCGTCGTCGCGTGTAAAGGACAAAGTCGGTGGCTCCCAATAACTACGTAGCGAGTGAGTCCGAAGGCTGCTTCGGTCGTCTGACGCAAAACCCATTGTCCGAATCCATCCGCTGCAGACTTCGATGGCGCATCGCGGTTCTCACGGATTCTGTCGTTACATCGGCCACTATATGAAATGTAGGTACCGGTTATAAAAAATTTAAATCACTAAAAACCGATACAAAAACAAAAATTATCGCATCGAGAGTAATGCCCATTAACCAAATTTTTTAAAATATAACATTTTATTAGGTACATGTCAAAACTTTTTAAACAACTTAAAAATGACTATTAGGGCTTGGCTAAGTGTATATTCTTTACCAATATGAAGCTAAACAGTACATGTCGGAAGATTTAAATAAAAACACTTTAACATTTGAAAATTATTTTTAATGGGACTCGATGTTCCATATGCTTTCCAAACAGCCATAGTCAAATAAGTTTTTACTAATAAATATCGCGTTTTAAACCGTTAAAGCGTTTTATTCAAATTTGTACTACTCGCGTAAACTGCAAACAGTATTTATGTCGGAAGATGCTAAGAAATCCAAACGGACCAAGGTCTCCGAGGCGGGCTAATCGGTTGAGGCGAGGATAGAGATGTCGCAAGAGCGCACAATTCGAATATCTAATCCCTCGCCTCGGGATCGTTGCGGGCGTTTACGTGGTCAACTTGCATTTACATACATTATATAGACGTTTCTTACTATTTTTAGGACATCTTTATACGGAAATACTGTACCACCCAGTCACCAACCACACGTGACAGAAACTTGTTCGCCCTTAGATCGAAAACTCTATAAATACAATAAACATAATTCTGACAACCGCATTCCAATCGTAGATCTGCTGATCTGAGCGATCCAAGTAATGAAATCCTCGTAAATAATGATACACATTACTTAACAAGAAGTTACGTCACCATGAACATTGATGTTCAAGTAGGAATTAACTTAAATGATAAACTCGCGTCCGAAACTTGACATTCGATCGTCGCGGTATAATCTCATACGATGCTAGCCTTTAATAGCCTTTTCTAATTATAATCATTTCATTGCACTTTGTTGTCGAAAATAATGAACGATTGAAGAATAGTAGTAGTGTTAGTGAACTTTGCTGTGACATAACGCGAATTGTATAAAGATCGAGGCGAGGCGCTGACCGACTGACCGACAAATAGATACATGCAATTATGTGAGCATTACGAGTATTATCTAAGCAAAGAAATGCCTTACGCAACGCGCCTCCGCGGTCCCTAAAGGTCTCGGGCCATTTGGGGTCACGGAGTGCAACGCTAAGCCGAGATGTTTCTTTTTTTATTTATTTGTGAACCTAGAATTTAATAGAAAGCTATCCATGTTGGAAAAATCATCAAAAAACTTATATGTGTAATTGAATAATTTTTCAATTTAAATGATCTATAAAAATATCTATTTGTTTATCTTTTAAGAGTGACTCGCAAGAACCGATTTTATAGTGATCAAATTCGATCGAAATATAAAATCGCGAGGGCCTCGAAACCGTGTTTTATCGAAGTAAGTTCCATTATGGCTCATATCTTCTAACCATAATAATATGATAATTGTGTTTGTAGTCTCCGAGGTGGACGATACCACACGGCGAAGACATCACCGCCACCAGTGCAACCAGTTATGCAATACAACGATACGATATTTGCAACATTACTTAACTGAGTCACTCAATTAATTATTGTTGAAACTATATAAATAAAGGTTTCTATATGAAAATTATATGATGAAAAATCATATTAAAACATATGCATTATACTTAATTATATGTATCGCTTATGTGTCGAAGTTTATGCACGGTAAAGGGAAGTACATTAAAATTTCGCCCATCATCTGAACTAATGCGCGTCAGGTGCCTCGGCGCGTAATGGATCCCGCGACTCCCTTGGGCCCACTCCTCTGATAAAGCGAGCGATCGATGAAATAGGTATTTACAAAAATATCCATAAACCTATCTAATTTTAAAACATCTTCAACGGTCGCTCTGTTTTTGGTGTACCTTCATTGATTTTCATATTTTAATATTTGTATTATAAAGTCGCGAAGTCCCCAGTCAATGATACCGCGGTTCATGTCGACTATCGCAACAATTGTTGAATAAAATAACATAAAACAATATTTTCTTTTATCATTGCTACAAAATGTTTATTAATGAAGTTCCGTCACATGGCAGACTATTGTCCAGGTTGTCCCTTCTAATAAACGAAAAAGGCTAAAAACACTTTTCCAAAATTTAGTACTAATAAAGCCTCGTGTGACAATATCGCTTTGTCGAGTCAACAAAGCAGAAACATCGAATAGTGATAATATCGCGTATCTTCCAATAAATCTGACGAGCGGTTATCTCCCATTGATTCGTGCATAATGGACGAGTTGCCAATTACTCGCGGAGGCCTTTCACCCCCTCCATTGCTCGATAACATCTCTTTGGCACGCCACTGCAGCGACTCGCGGCACTATTTATGACTAATAGAATGCTTTGCTGAATATCACTGTTATCAGTAATTAAACATAGACCTGTAACTAGAACTAGAAAAAAAGTTTATCAGTCTATATGTAATTTTTAATGTGGTATTCTTTACCTTCAATTGTTGAAATGGTAAGGTAGGTCGTACTTCTGCCTGCCTAGTTCACTGGATTCGCAATTAACACTATTAAGGCACTTCAGCTTTTATTTTGTCGTAAATCTCTCTGCAGGTTGTCTTAAAAAAGAAGGTCTTTTTTTCCTTTCTGTGCGGCGAAAACTTTACCCCGGCCCGGGCCGAATAACAAGAATTTTTAGCTATTGTCATTCATTACTTTTCCCCATAGACCCTTAGAGATAGACCCTTTTTACATGAGCTATTCGACGTTTCTCAGGTAAGCGAGAAGCACACCTTGCGGCTTTCTTATAAAGAATGTTTGCAAATATTGACAGATGTAAGGAACGACAAGTCGTATGCAATAATATAATTAAGTAGTGGGTGAATAAAACGCGTAATATTAGTAATTATTTCGCTTTTAAGTTCAGAGAAACCTTTAGACTCTTACACATTAAAAAAGGAGAAACGATTAAATGATCGGTAATTTATCGCTATCGATATCTCGATCGCTAAAATGTGTGATTGGTTTTTAATAAATAAATAAATGAATTAATACATTTCCTAGAGCCTAATTAAACATAAGTCTATTTGCGACGTATACAAAAGAAGAAAAATCCCGAATCGACATTCGCAGATATTAATTCAATTGTCCCGTTAGTGACCGCTGCCAGGAGGGGCTGGCCAGGGCGGCGGGGCGCGCGGGAGGAGGACGGGAGGGCAGTGGGCGTGGCCGGTCGATAGCAAAGATGTGCTCAAAAGTTTAATCGACGACTTGTTTTAGTTGCAAAGGTCAATTTTATGCGATTTTGCAGTTGTCACTCGGCGTGAAAGTCGAGGGTGTCGGGAGCAGAGTAAAATAGAAGGCTTCGACTCTCCGAACCCTGACATGCCTGACAGCCCATGTACAGAATATATGTCGGTAGGTAGTACGTAGACAATTTTAAATGTCTCTTCAGAGATTCTCAGTTTTGAAATAAATATTATTTCTTTTAATTAATGAGGCTCAATTGGATTGTAAAGATTATTCAAACGCGTTCACATAGGAGCCAAATATCTGCTTCGTTAAGACTCCCATTCATCTCATCAACTTGCTCTTGCTTTTGGAGCGTAAGGTACCTTCATTCGGGATACATTTATTTATTTTTGGTCGGAATGAGGAAGCGCTCGTTAGTTGCCTGCTTTAGAGATATCTTGTGTTTACTTTAAATATCGTGTTAAATATAGACATTGATGGGCATTATGTATGCCGTTACCTTTTCTTAAATCGGCCTTGAATTAGAAATTGATTTGTCATGTTAAAGTAGGTTAAGACAAATATGACTAAATATAACACTTAAACCACTTCACTGTAATTCACCTACAAACGCGAGCTAACATTTTCCACATTTCTATTTAAAATGCTTTGCAGACTTATAACACTATGAAATATAGAATCTCTGACTGACAAACGTGTCATTTCAAATTGAAACTTATTCGCCCGACAAAGAACTCAATTCTTTCTAACAAAAATATTCAAAGAAGATATTCCCACGAACATTTTTCTTATTTTAGCAGCGGTCGTAGCCGCGCTAACAAAAAGTGTATCTTGTTGTTTTTGAGTTAAGGTTTATTTTGAAGCGCGTGGGCTTTTATTAGAAGCATCACAGCGTGTGGCGAGCTTTCGATGGGATTACAAAAGGATTTGGGGACGTGACGCTCGTTTTCGTGGTCTGATTGCGACTTGTGACAAGGTATTGGCTTCGCCAGAGGTTTACCAGTTTGTTTAAGGTAAACGGAGAGCTCTGATACAATTTTAATAGAAACAGTAAGGTGCTTTGATAAAAAGAGATGATTAGAAGTAATGTGAAGAATTTCCAGTCCTAATTATTCCTCTATATAGAGACGAAAATTTTGATTTCAGTGTATCTATATCTATATATTCGGGTGCTTAATAAGATAGTCCCTATTAGCTGAAATTATCAAAATATAATTATCATTACTACTACGTCGACTACATCGACTACGTCTCTAAGAAGAGCAATCTGCGAGTCTGCTGGAGCCCTGCACAGGTGAACGGCGGTCGATTGGCGCGCGCCTGCGCATTGCAACCACTTCACAACTTTCTTCGTTACTTTTAAACATTTATTTACGATATATGTAAGATTCAGGTTTAGCCCTTGAAAGGCAAAAGACACGTTTATATATAAATTAATGACAGAGTCTAATAATGATAACTTAACAATATAATCTAGTCTAGCCAGACTCTTACAATTTCTACAAATTAATACACCACTAAAATAGTATCAGTAAATGTAAATTTAACGTTATGAAGTTTTAACTGTTTTGACGTTCATAAATGTACTTACACCTACATGAATAAATGATTTTTGATTTTTTAATAGGCTTGGTGACGTGTCACTAGAGACAGTGGTCCGCACTCCTAGACACTCCTAAAATGTGTTTATAGAGTGGAATCTCGACAGCTCGAATTTCAAGGGAAATGCTAATAAATTCCAGTTAATGAGTTTTCTATTTTACAAGTATTTCGAGATACAAAGGATTTATTTGCTAAAACTTTGACTTAGAAACGTACGGTTTTTAATAATATTATTATTCGGTGGTAATTCGTACGTACGCACGTATACAAGACATAAACACTAGATAAGAAATCCCGAACCTACACCAAACATACCTTTTGGATTTTATCGCTTCGATTTCGAAGACGTCATTACATTTTACTAACTTCGACTTGCAGTCTTCTTTTTGAAATTCGAGTAACAAAGTCTAATTAATTCGAGATACCGCGTATTTAGAAGTGCAAGCGGAAGGGAATAACGTATAATGTTTTAACCCTTACACAAAATATTTAAAAATTCTGTAGAGAAAGTGTGCGCCGAGCGCGGTCGATTTGAAACATTTACAATTCAAATTGTTATTAGTATGTCCACCCTCACTTTACCAAAGGGATGTTTTATAACTAAATTCGGTGTATTAGCTAAAACATAACGGAATATGAACGATTTAACGTATTACCACAATTGTAGAGTCCGTAGTTCGAACTCTCGCGTTGAAGTTTTACCGTTTAGAAAGGGACCAAAAGGCTCTAATTGACGAGGTATAAAATAGAGATTATTATATATAATATTATAGATTTTTTTATTTAGATTATAAATATATTAGTAAGGTCATATCTACGAAAAGGTATAGTTAGTTTTGTTATTGTCTTTGTATCCCGATGTCGGTACTTGCGTCCCATGTTCAAGATGGCACCCATGGTATAAAAAAAAGCCTTACCTTTAGATGAGGAAATCTCGATAAAGTGACTCTATGTCTCTTCGTGTTATGTAGTTTGGTGTGACTGATGGACAAGGGCACCGACATAATACTAGTTAGAATGGTAATGCTTCTCACAACGGCATGGCGGCTGCAGGCTCGTTCACAAAACACAAAAAAACACAATGCACACAATTAAAGAAAATATTGATTTAGCCACTTTATCAAATAAAAGCCGTGCACTAATGCGCATGGCATATGGGGTGGGAGGGGAGGGGCGTGGGAGTGGGAGTGGGGGTGGGAGTGGGGGTTAGAGTAGGAGTGATGTGAGTTGAGAGCGTTGCGGCAAAGTCGCATTTACAACATAGATTGGCTGCCTCAAATGCGACCTTACATAAATTAATAAACAGCCTAAACAATTAAAAATTCTACCCCAAGTCACTATTCCACGCGGACAAAGTCGCGGGCACAGCTAATGATTAATAAAATAGCCACGAAAGACTCACGCGCGCCGTTATTTTCCGAATGCCAATTGGTTTTGACAGTTGAATTGATTGACAAATTGAGCAGAGTACCTAATAGATAAATAATTCACAGATAAAAACACATTTTATTCTTTAGGGCGTTACAGATTATCTTATACATGTTCTATAGAGGTAAAACGATTTTTTTTTTATAACCATAGTTTTAGACTTTAATTTTCTGTATGTAATGTTATGTATGTTTATAGTAAGTATTTGTAAACTATAAGACTCTATTATTTGTCAGTCATCATGATTATTTAAGTGATTTAATTTAGAATTGTTGACTCAGTTGACATTATCTATGGTGAATTAAAGTAAAAAAAAACACTGTATTGTTGAAGTTGATTGTATGGTTTAAATTTGTTGCTCGCTCGCTTCTGAATTTCGATGCCCGAACAGCTCAGAAGCTATAAAGTAATAAGTTTTAATAATATTTCTAATAGTTAATCGAAAATTATAATTCTATGCGCGTACGTTTCTTCCTTTTGCTTAAAATGTACGTGGAAGTGACTAAGCTTTAGAATAGCACTAACTGAGGGTTCAGATGGCATCGGCTGTTACCGATTCGTTTATCGATAAGTGACGCAAAGACGCGCCTGGGGGATGACCCATGATGATATATCGACCGGAGCTTTTGCCTTCAGGCCTATTTTTAGTGATCGACCCGTGCGATATACCTACGTGAATTTCAGGCGCACCTTATTGGTCGCCGCTCCGTGACGTCACAGCTCCGCTTCCACCAATGGCGCGACGAGGTTCTGCGCATGTCCGAGGAGGCTTCGACGGAGCTCGCCCGAAGGCTGGCAGTCTGGGCTCGCGAATCCCAGGTGTGCCAAGCTCGCGCCCGACACAAAACAAAGGTCAATATTTCTCACATCCTAATATTATCTAAACATTTTTATTCAGTTTCATTTGGTGTATTTCGTTTTAATTAGTATTTAGTGTGCGTAGCTTAAGTCGTTAGTGTATTTATGTAATGCAGTTACGTAATCGTGCGAGTGAGAGGGCGCTTGTTTTTACGTAGGAGAGAAAGAGACGTCATGTATGATTTATTGTAGCACCGATTCGCATCCATATATATAATATATAGATTACTAATACTTAAAGCTTCGCCTATGTATTACCATTTACATTTTAAGCTTTTTTTATATGTACGAGGAGCTCTTTGGAGAAATAGTGAAGCTAAAAGTGAATATAAGAGCAATTGCAATAATACAAAGCGATTAAAAGAGAAAATAAGCAATTAATTCAATAAACAGCTCTATAAATTAATAATTCATAAAAAAAGTTTTCTCCTTGACTTTCTCGTTTTATGGAGTAAATCTCAATTTCATTGTCAAAATTCATTCGTGATTTAAAATTTCAAACTTTTAATTCTAATAAATACAGGTTGTGTGTGAGTGAAAAGTACAACTCGTGTAGGGCGGGCGGCACAATGCGACGGGCGCCCAGCGATGCATTTAAACAGACTTCTTCTTAATTTAGACAAACAGAAATAAAATATGTAGAAATATTCAATGTAATATAAAGAACACTTCCAATTTTTAAATACGTTTTATTTATTCTACTTCGTATTAAGCCTTTACCACTTTACCACTTACACGGGCCGTTTTTAGATAACTGCCTCACAAACCTAAGGTTAAAACCAATATTTCTCATGCGTTTCGTTCCTTTCCAAAATGTTGCCTAGGCTATTGTTACCTTTATTTTAAGTTTTCTTGTGTACCATACTTCAATAATTTATATCAGGTAACATAATATTATAAAAGGTTGATATGCCATTAAACACATAATATATTAAACATTTCTCAGTTAAAAACTACATTATCAAAATAAGCTGCTGTATTGTAATTCCAATGAACTATATCTACTTAAATTTTATAATAAAAGCCTGAAGAATTGGCAAAGCACTTTCGGATGTTTGCCGCCGGAAACTGTCTCTGGAATAGCTTCCGGTCGCCATTTGAGGAAACCAATTCAGTTTATGACTTCCATTTTCATTCCTTTAAAATGTAGCCTATAATATTAAAAGAAAAATATATTAAATGACCGGTTTTCTACATAAATCAAGTTGTGATCTGGAAAGTCTTCTAAGTTATGATTCCTGTTCTACAAACAATTTTTTTCATAAGAAGCCTGCGTTATTCAAAGTTTTTAGTTTGATTTTTACTAAAATACATAAATTTGATGTAGCTCCTGAGTAGCTACAGCGGCCGTCCCGCATTGTTATATAACTTACATGCATAGAAACAATAATACCAATAATACTTTAACAAAAAATATAATAAAAGCGTAAAATATTATATGCTACTTTTCTCGATTGATATGTTCTATAACTAAATAAATAGTATTTGCTATCTAGCGCTATATTACATCATATTATGTTTATTTTGTTATCTCGATTTGTAGAACTAGTTCTAGAAGCGCAGACAACTTACATTCTATAAAATTGTTACAGATCACAAAGGCGGTACACCAAGGGAGAGCTGAATTCAACAGATACATATCAAAAATGCACTGATAGCGTAAAACAAATTACAGATTATACATAGCATACATCGACTAGCATAGAAGCGAGTGAAGAGTTCCATTTTCGAAATTTTATAAAGTTAGTGTTCGGTTTTATCTGTCGCGTGGGGCAGTCGCCCCGAGGGGCTCGACCGTGGAGGACGAGGGGGGAGCGTTGTTCGGGCGGCTGCAGGGGGCGCTGCGGGGCGGCGCCGCGGCCGCTTCGCCCTCGCGCGTCGCTAGCTCCATCAAGGGCTACCTCACTAACAAGGTCGGCTCGCTGCAATTGCGGGATACAGGTGAGTCGAGTGCTTTTCTAGTGTGCTACACGCCGCAGAGGTTACGTACATTTTAAGAAAGTACTCCAAAGACGACATCAATCCCAAATCACACACGACGCGTCTCATTTGTTTTAGAGCTAATGTTGTTTGGCGCTCGGGTCTCTTTTATGTAGGAATTGGATCCGTATAACAAATACATACATTTTGAATATGTGTTAACATGAATTTACACACTTACATGCCTAATAAGAGAATTGTTAGTGGATTTTGTAAAATGACTTATGTGATGTATAAAGGGAATGTTGACCAAACACAGATCCTCGCTGAACAAACAGGAGAGTTGCGAGGAGTAAATGTTTGTCGACGCCTTGTTAGTCGGTACCCTCGTGACGTCACAGGCAAACAGGCGCGTGTAGTTTGTTGCAGGATGCGTACGTCGCGCTAAAGGGTATCTGTGCGATATTGAACGTAAAAATACGAAATTGATGTTCTCGCCTTGAGATACATATAATAATAATTATCACTCTGACGCACTATGATCGAAGATTTCTTCCCATCTCAGTAGACCTTTATGAATTATGATTATCATGTTCCAACTTGTCGGCGAAAAGGATGCTCGAATAAATTCTGTGTGTGGAATGTGTGAGTTCAAATCCCGTCTGCACCACTTATATATGTTGAAAGTATATTACTTGTGGCTAGTGGCAACCCATTAGGCTTTCCCTTCGCAAGTGTTGCGTGTTTCGTGACTGTAAAACTTTGCCCTCCAACTAAATCGAAACGAAAGCTTTTCAAGTTCGTGATAGATTCCCCGATATCGTTTCTGCTTTACCGATTTCATTTCGTTCAGAAACGATCAAACGATTTTCTGAACTGAGCCGTGAATTATTTATTCATTAAGTCAAAAAAAAGGTTACTATTTTGTATATTATAGCTATGCTATTCACTAGTTTTAGTTTTAGTTAATTTTTCGAAGTAACAAACATCATCTTCGACTTATTTATTGTAATAATAATAAATCAGCGGAAAATAGATTTATTTTCTTTAATTTTAATATCATATTTCAATTGTTTCTGAGATGGACCGTGTTACAAACTTTTGGAATTTTTGAATACCTCTAAATTTAATTTGAATGATTTTCTTTGACATACTAATTGAGAAGAATTTTCCATTCCTTACTCTTGTCAAAAGCGAGTAACAATATCAGCCGCGTTGGATAACATCTAAATAATGCTAATTAACCTCCGAGCTTCGTAATGCTTCTTTACGAGGTCTTAACGGGGCGCAATTAGTGTAGAATAAATCGAATTACAGCCGAAATTAACGAAATTGCCGAAGCACCCTTCCACCACCTTGCACTAACGATTATAGGGCTGCGAGATTAGCTAACGATTACAGAAATACCGCGATGTCTTCTCAATTAGGAGGGCCACGATTATAATCACAAGTAGTTCTTAGGTCTTATTGAAAATAATAATAGCTAAATGTCAAGGTTTCATTGATTTTTATTTTAAAGATTTTATTGCTATGTCAATATTTAAAATACTATAAAAAATATTTACTTAATATTTTTATGTAGGTTTATTGCTTACTGGCTTAATAGTCAATAGAAAAAACACTTTAGTTCTTTATCTTGTTTCGTCACGTTAACTAATTGTCTAAAGTTTCAACAACAGAAATGCTAAGACAAAATCGTTCGGAACCGCAAATCAGCATCTCTCCCCCCTAATTGCATTAATTAAGGTCTCGTCTTACGATCTACGCAAAATGTAAATAACTATATCTTCAATCAGCACGGGTTTGGAGCTAAGGTGATGGAAGTACCATTGTACGATTACTATAAGAAATTGTTTTTTGGAATCTACCGTTGGGGGACACCAGAATTAAACGATAGATCTTATGAAGTTCGATATGGTTTTATTTAGCTGTTATAACTTTTTGGCGGTAGACTTTCGCGTTTTAGCAAAAGCACATTCTAGCCAGAGCGAGTGGCGAGGGAGCGCGGGGTGTGGCACTTCGAATTCCCTCGTCATGAATATTTGAAAGGCGCCGCCGGCACAACTCGGGTCCCTCGTAGCGAGCAAATACGAAATTATATCGCGCTCGTTATTCTGGGACTAGAGATACATTTATTCTGACATATTTTAGGAGAAGAAAATTCAGATGAATAAATTACCGCCTAACGCTTTAAGGAATAGATGTCTTATCATTTATACACGGTAACAGATTGGATCTGCTAACCCACACTAACTAACTAAACGATGCTTTTTTATTTTTACTCGGAAGAACCTAAACTTAATTATGACAATTCAATACATTGTGGTCTTAAAGAGTGTCTAACTGCTAGAAAAGCAAAGCAAAGGGGGGCTCGGTCCCGTCGCCTTTATTATTTACGCAGGTAAATTGTATAACACGACGCCTCGGGCTTTACCGTAATGGGAACTATCGATTTTTCCACCCGCAACGAAAGCTGTTCTCTATTTCGGGTCTTTCCAAGAACCTTTTCAACGATTTCTGGGTAAATGTGAACTAATAAGACATTTCATATCATGTTAAAATTTTTAAACAAAACACTAACGGTAATCGCGATATATTAGTAAACTGTATTTGAAAATGTCGTGACGTCGCTGACGTGACCACGGCCTGCTGTAAAGCATCCGAAACGTCGGGCCGAAGTTAAAAATAATTTTCAAATAAGTTTAACTAATATATCGCGTTTTTAACCGTTCAAGTGTTTTATTTAAAGTGTTGTACTACTCGCGTAAACTATAGACAGTATCATGTTAACATTACCAAACCCATTGCAACAACAGGTGCAAACATTTTAAAAAATTTGTAAATAAACTTAAATTTTACCCCGCTAAACTTGCTCCTAAATATTTTTCTTTTGTGTAATTAAAATTAATTTAGTTCAAATATTAAATATATAAAATTTAATAAAAACGACTTTTAAAGTTCTGCAAATTTAAAAAAAACTGCGTTTTCGTTATTAGCTATACTATTAGTTTATAATTTTTAATTAATTAAAAAAAAATGTTTACGATTTTTTAGAATACATAGTTTGTTTATTTCGTTGACACTACCATTTGTAGGTGATAACATAATTGCCCTATAACACAACCGAGGACAGTTCTTATAGTTTCCAAAAGCATGTTTAATTATTTTTTAAATCGGGTGTGGAAAAAAACCTTCCCCAAGTTTAAGCGATCGCTGTCCCCGTGACACCGATCGCTTCCTACGGTGCCCTCCCAACGTAGCCCTGTGAGCGGACCTCAAGTTTTTATTTGGTGATGGTGTTTGGAGCCTTTTATAGCGGTGGCAATAGAGAACATTTGTTGTGCCATTAAAATTACAATTACGATTATACGTTATATTGTATTCGTTATACGATGTTGCGCCATTTTATGTAGACAATTATACATTATGCAAAATCGTTCTACATTATTTTGTTCTACCGCATACGACGAAAGACGTTTTATAGCATTTTTACACCTTAGGTTATGTTACTAAACGTTTGAATTCAGGGCGATGTAGCTTTCTAATGTCAGAAGATTTTTTTTTAATCAGCAGTCTTTGAGTGTATTTAATACAAACATTTACACGTAGATTTAGCGATAACTGCTGCTTTTTATTTTTATATTCACATTGTGTTTTGTCGAAACATAAAATCATTAAAATAATATCAATTAATCATTAGGGGCTTCGATAGATTGAAGCGGCAATTGTGTTTTGTCGTTAATACAATAAAAAAGGCCAATTAGAGTGCGACGAAGGACACTCGAGGCACAATCGGATCGTCCCGATTGTTCGTCGCGTGGCGCTCTTCCGTTTGACAACGCGTGACTAATGGAGGGCCGGGATAACCGGCGGTCTGTGGGGCACACCACAGAATTCTACGATTCCTACATATAGGACAATTGTAAACTTAACGCCACGAGTTCCTTCTAAACAACCTAATACAAAACCGCTACTAAGATCAACTTACTTATTGCACGACCTGATACTCTTTGATTAAACAACACTTGTATAACCCCATACGAATGGATTAGATTCTTTTATTATAGGTTATCAATGTTGGTCCTTTTTGTTGTTTTTCTTTATAATATAAATAAAATTGCGAATGTAAGATACGTATATGTTTTCATATATAAGAACCTGCGCAACCCTACAGCGGATTCTTTTATCACACTACAATAAAAATTTGACCTTGATTTAAGAGTTTGACCGAACTATTTAAGTGTTTTCGAATACCGGTACAATGAAACAAGCAAAATATTTCGAATTCAAACGTGTCTCGCAGAGGAAACACACTGATAAAAGGAAAGCAATAAACAAAACAACAAGAATATCAATAGGTATTCTAATAACTAAGAATTAAAAACGATACAGACATTTTTAACATGTTTTATGTGTGCACTAGTATTTTTAAATATACTTTCTGATCGTAGTAAATGTTGTCATTAAAGGATGATTGAAATCGAATTATTTCGGTTAACTAATTAATGATCGATCAAAAATAAAGGCCCTCTGCCCTACCAGCGATTTGTTGCGGGCCCGACGTGATCACCTAATCAGCTTCTCTCCCCTACCTGAATATTAATGCTACTGTATATTGTCCTCGCCGTCTGTCTGTACCACACTGTACACAGTGTACAGGGTTTAGGTATGTCTTGAAACTCTAACGACAAAACGTTTAGATTTGTACATAAAATATAATCATAATTTACTGTCGACGCGAACTTCTCGTCTTATTGATATTTGGCAGATTCCCAATTTCCGTTCGTTTGGCAAAGTTTCGCGAGAGGCGTGACGTAATCCTCCATTCGCGGCTTTTGTTCTTTGTGTTCAGGCCCAAACTTAATTATCCGAACGAGAGAGCATACAGGGCGAAGTTTCATTAACATTTTATCTTAATATGAATGTGTAGTAATGTAATTTAATACTGACAAGTTCACTAAATAGTTTTGTTACAGTTAATTAAAAAATGAACATTAACAAAAATATTGAAAATATTCGTTCGTGTTCTTACAGAACAGTTTTCTGCAATATTCTCCAGTTCGTGCAATACCAGAAGAAACACCCCAAAGATGTAAATCTTGGTCAATTTTCCTCACGAACGTGTTACGAGGGTAGTATTAGCGGGGACGTTATCAGGAACACAAATCATCTCGCCCCCGTCGCCCCTGCCCTACTGACGGCTAATTTAACGCGGCCGGGGTATTTGGACTACAGTTTATACTATATCTACTTCCTTTTGGTAATAAACATGAAATGATCTCGAGACCTATTTACCGAACTATATATCAACTGCAGACATTTTAAATATCATACCGTAAACTACGAGTACATATCGCGGATATATAAAAGCGGATCTGACTTATGTTGACTTAAAAAAAAATACAAAACAAACAGACAAAGGACAACACATGATAATCGAGGACGACT